GTTATGTTACTATACTAACAAATTATGTTTTCCCCATTATGCTAAAACTACCCTAATTACGCCAAACTGGTACGAAACAAAAGTAACTCTAAAACAGAGGAGCACAACGTCAAATTTCGCGTACCACAGAATGAAAATCAAAAACTAGTTTTATTACAATGTTCATCAGACATCAGTAGATAAAATGCTATAGCTGATTTTATTTATAGGTAGCCGGGGACTGGACGTTAAAATCAATACTTTGTACAGATGAAGCCTGGCAGCAGTGATTTAATCGGAGTTACATTGAATACACATTTTAAAATGACTTGTTATACTGCGTACTTTTGTATTGGGAATGATACTATGGCTGAAGTTTTTTGGAGAAAAGAAGGATAAAGTATTGTTTTAAGTGAGAACATAACATCACGGCTTTTTTCCCCGAAGTGGTAGGCAGAGGTGTACATTATGTCACTGTACAATGTAACACCCACTTTTCTCTATTTATTTTATGAGTCCCATGTAATAGAGGGTGAGCCTATTGCAATATACCGGGCACAATTCCAGACTCCGTGCTCCTAACGTGAATTTTTTGAAAACCCAGTAATAATCGAACCCGAGACCCCTTGCCCGGCAGTTGCACTTGCGATCACTCGGCCAATGAGGCAGTCGTAGGCTTCTTTGAAATAAGAATTTGTACCTAAATGGAGTTCTTTTTGCTTAGTATGATGTCTAGCCTAATGTCATATAGGGCAAACATATCGATGCGTATAGGGCTCGATTCAAGGTTCTGTAAGCATAACTTAATTATACTTAGCTCAACACAAGAATCCAAAAAGCACTTACTCGTCTAATGACAGTTAGCAATAGGGTGAAGACAAAGTACGAAGACAATACAATTAGTACACAAACTTCGAAGTGCTTCAAAGTTACAATTTATCTACCAACAGTCAAAGTCACTCAACAAATTTACTAACAGCCCAACAAACAAGCAAACAAAGATCGCTTTAAAGCACCAACAGATTTATTGTTACATTTCGATTCCAATACAAAAACATATCGAAACAATAGGCGCAGACTACACGAGAGAATCGACAAAAATACCGGCGAAATTGACTCAAAAGATTCGAAATAAAGCTCAGTTACAAAAACAAAATGGAAGCAAACGAAAACATTCGACTGACCTTTTAAATTGATTTCAAACATAGCTTATCTGCGAGTATTTAGTGTACCCTATTCCTAGAAAAACTCGAGGGAATTTTCCAGGTTGCGAAGTTGGTTACCTAGCAACGAAAATTGAGCTTACGGAGCACTCCCAGCAAATAGCGATAATTATATTTCTAGTTTCCTACACTGGCTCAGTTGAGAGGATTTGTTTTCTGGGATTATTTCAAACGGGATTTATTAGTTTTAGTCGAAATGCTGCTTTCGAATTTTGATTAATTGAGAATTCTCTCTCGTGAATCGGTATGATATTAAGCAGTTTGGAGTTCATTGAAAATTGCTGGAGTTTTTCGGTGAAATGAATTGTGATATTGATTTTTCTGTTTAATTTAGTTACTAATTCAACCAGTAACTTCAATTCCATATAGTCCTTAAACTGTCAAACACCAAGCGGTCACCGGTGACCGCAACCTATTGTTCTATAATTGTGTCTACAAAACCGGTACTCGACGAGTTAATGAGGTAAAGTTGATTGGTAATTAATTACTGACAGTATATTTACCGATATAGTATAGGAAACTGACAGTCTTGTGTCGAGACAACCTATATTGGCTACGTTGACTTATGTGCTACAAATATTTGTACACAAATTATGTAGATACATTTTCCTTCTCCTGTTTGTTGTTTGTTTCTCTTTTCTTCACATCGCAATCGTAATATCTTTTTTGTTTGAGGTAGTTAGGAAGCTGCAAAATGCTTCTTTTTTCCTTATACCACACGAGCAAAGCCGCGGGTGAAACGCTAAGTGATTATATTTTGATTTCTATTATAATCTAGCTCCATCTTCAAATAAGGAGTTCTTTGTTATAAATTTAGGAATGGATTTAAATAATTTAATTCATGACATAGATTTAAATAAGTATATTTATTATTGTGCTCACTAATTATAAAAATAAAATATTGTGATGCTTATATATTAAATGTAAATAAAAATAAAATAAAAGTATTTCTAAATACGAGTATTGTATTTAAAACTAATAAATTAATATTTGGTATCGTTACAGATCTTAACATTGCACTTTACTATTGGCATGTTTAAAAATAAATTATAATTAAATAAAATAGTGTGTAAATAATCTTAATTCTATGTATATAATTTATTTTTATGAATTACAAATTTTAATGAAACATAGAGGTGTCCCACAAAGGCAATCCATTTTATAACTGTCATTTCAATAATTCGGAATTTGCAATTAATTGTTTCAAAACTTTTCTTGAAATAGCACTGGCTGATTTTCTGTTTCAAAGAGCCTATTTGTAAAACATAAAAATTACAATATTTTACTAATCTATTAGCAAAAGGGTACTTTATGTTCTACGTGACATGATTGAAAATAAATCGTTTGAACGAGAATCTTACCTTGCCGTAACACAGTCTTTGACTAGTACGGGAGGTAAAGTAAAAAATCTACGTATACCGTCTGTAGACATTTATTACACTTTTGATATCCAGCTTAATGTCTTGTGAATTACTGATATACATTACTGTTGTTTGCAAGGTGTACGAGGGCGGGTCAATAAGTCCGTGACTTTTTTGTTTTTCCGCCTCTTCATTGAAATGGCAACACTGCTCCCTTCAACAGTCATCTGTCAGATGTCTCCTGTCAAAAATTGAACAAGCTGTGACATTTAGTTTGTTTTTGACAGCCGTTTAAATCAAACTACCGCGTTAACTGAGAAGAAAATGGAAAAAAGTGAATTTCGTGTGCTCATTAAGCATTATTTTTTGCGGAAAAAATCCATTACGCAAACCAAGGCTAAGCTTGATAAATATTATGGGGATTCTGCACCATCTATTTCAATGGTAAAAAAGTGGTTTACTGAATTCCGATGTGGCCGTACCAGCACGGAAGATGCCAAACGTTCTGGACGCCCAGTTGAGGTCTCCACATCCGAAACAGCTGAAAAAATACACGATATGGTTTTAGCCGATCGGCGATTAAAAGTGAGAGAGATTGTGGAAGCCATAGGCATCTCGCATGGCTCAGTGGTTTCAATTTTAAATGATCATTTGGGTATGAGAAAGCTTTCCGCAAGATGGGTGCCGCGTTTGCTCACAATCGACGACAAACGCAAGCGTGTGACAATTTCGCAGAAATGTTTGGCGTTGTTCAATCGCAATATAAACGAGTTTTTGCGCCGTTTCGTAACCGTGGACGAAACGTGGATCCACCACAACACACCGGAGACCAAACAGCAGTCAAAACAGTGGGTTTCTCGGGGTGAATCGGCGCCAAAGAAGGCAAAGGTGGGTTTGTCAGCCAATAAAGTCATGGCGACTGTTTTTTGGGATGCACGCGGTATTATCCACATTGACTACCTTCAAAAAGGAAAAACAATCAATGGCGAATATTACAGCAACTTATTGGGTCGATTCGATGAGGCATTGAAAGAAAAGCGACCGCACTTGGCCAAGAAAAAAGTCCTCTTCCATCAGGACAATGCACGAGTGCACACATGTGCAGTTTCTATGGGAAAAATCGATGAACTAGGCTACGAATTGCTCCCTCATCCGGCCTATTCTCCCGATCTAGCCCCTTGTGACTACTTCTTGTTCCCAAACTTAAAGAAATGGCTCGGTGGAAAGAGATTTGCCTCCAACGACGAAGTCATCTCACAAACAAATGCCTATTTTAAAGACCTCGACAAAACATATTTTTCGGAAGGGATTAAAAAATTGGAGAAACGTTGGGCTAAGTGTATAGAGCTCAAAGGAGACTACGTTGAAAAATAAATTAACTTTTTTTCATTTATCTAAAAAATTGTGTTTCATTTAAAAAGTCACGGACTTATTGACCCGCCTTAGTATACTATGATTTTATTGTTTTTATTTAGATTTACCTATCTAGGTACTACATAAATGCCATTGCTGATGTTAACTTGTATATATGAAATATAAACTATGTATTTTTTGGTCTACCTTGCAATTGTGATTGTAATTTCTATGTATTCAATACCAAAATTTGTTAAATAATAGGTATTTTAACTAAAATCGCGGGTTACTCACGTGAATATACTGAAAAAAGCTCTACTAGTTTCGAACCACAGGGGGGTTCTTCCTCATGAGCAACGTGCGCGGTCGTGGCGACCGTATATTTACGTGTGTAACTCGAGATTTTAGTTAATTTAGTATGTCTCACGATAGTTATTATAAAATAGGTATTTTGCTAAATAAAATTATTCTAATTCTAATCAATAAATAGGTAATATCATATTATAAGGTCGTCGCCCAACGAAATGATGGCTCCGCTCGACGCGATAACACGCGGTTGAGTGGTTCAAAACAATGTACCTCTCTGTAGGTAATTCGTCAACATGACTACGTTACATGAAGCTAATATGTTAACCCGTTGAAATCCATCCCCTGAATTTGGTCATGCAAAAGTAGTCTCTAAACATTGGAAATAAGGTCTATAATGTAATGTAATATTAGTGGAGAGCGGTCACCGGTGACCGCTTGGGGATTTATGGGTGCTTTGTATCTTAAATGTAACAGACATTGCAAGCACTGCCAGCAGAGCGGTAAAACCGTGCGGTCAACGAAGTTGTGCATCGCTGCGGTACGCGGCGCCGCGTTACTGTGTCTTCGTTCTTAAAGCTAAGGCCATATTCGACAGAAATTTGACTACTAAATACACTATTATTGCATATTATAATATAATTGACTAATGAAATAACATACACTGATGAAAGATTGAAGATTTATCATCATCGATCCGTTTTCTCTTGACGTTTGTACCATTATCCACTGTGCAATGGTATACAGTCATAATGAGAACTGAATGTGTAAATACTAATAAATTTTTATGTTTTCGACTTACCCACGTAACTATTTGAGGAGGAACTTGACAAGTTTCAAGCCATGCTGCTGCCATAGCCAGCATATCGCGCTGCTACTGGAGTCGCCGCGTCGCGGGTCGCGGAATGCTGCTCATGAATATGAGCCTCTAGCATGGCTTGAAACTAGTCGAGTTCCTCGTGAAACAGTTACGTGAGTAAGCCGAAAACATAATAATTAATTAATATGTCTCACTTAGTGTAAATACTAATCCATAATTGAACAACACTATTCACTCTCACTCTTATAATATTTTAAATCACAACCTCTATACGCAAATTCAAGCATCATTCTGTTTATTTCTTCCTCTGTCATCGACTCAGGGAATTTATCTTTACCCACAAGCATATTACGTAAAGCCTTGTGTAGTTCCTTGGCGGCCATCTTTGCTGGTTTCGGTAACACTTGGCCCTTGTATACACTGCTGTCTGGCTCTGGGATCATTCTGGAAATACAGAAAAATAGTTTAAGATGAATCACAGTTATATACATGATGAAGTCTATAGATACATCTGTTTTCATTATCCTACAATTACATTGTAATACAAAAATTGTACATTGAATATTTTTTTAGAAGAATGCTTGAAGCGTGATCTGCAATATATCGAAGCTAAAAATATAGATTTAAAACCTTTTGTCTGCTTGTCTGTATATATGACAGAGGTGAACTCAAAGGGAACTGCATGGATTTACTTCAAATTTTGCATGAATATTACTAACAAGTCGGGTCAACACAAAGACTACATATGATCACCCTATCACCTACGATACGATACCTACGAATTCGCTGTCACAGCTAGTAAAATATATGAAAATATATTAGGTACACAAAGTTCGACAATCATAATCTGGAAATGAAAACAGATTTTGTTATAGCAAGTACCTACGTCACATTTTCTAATTAAAATTCTTTCAACATTCAATGAAGGAAAATCATCGTATAATCAAAATCCCTTTACACAACAAGGAAGCTTTACGCAACCGTTTCCTTATAGGTATAACGCAAAATTTTAACAATAAAAAGAATCACGTTGCTATCGAACATTTTACGGAAAAATACGGAACGATAAATTTTTTAAGCCAATAAAATTTAACTTTGTATTCCCAAAAATGGAAATTTTTACTTTTACCACAGTTCTCTTAACGAATATACGTAGGTATTCGCTTAAGCAGAATAAAACTTATAAACTTAAACTTATTTTATACGAAATCTCACAATCGCACGAACAAAACCAAATTCAATTGAGCTAGTAAAGAGCTCAAAGATGTCTTGGCTTATGCTACTGACCAATCGCTAACATCACATCAACAGCCTATTAGTAGCCACTGCTGACCGAAGCCAGCTTCTTACACGTAGAAAGTTTGATTATTAATCGGGTTGGCGATTTCAAACCTATAATTAGAATAAGCCAATTTTTCCTCACAATGTTTTCCTTCACCATTTGTCAATTTTGTCTAAATAATCTTAGAAAGTAAATATAACTCGGAAAAAGTTACTTTGCTTGCTGTTGGTAGGTTTCGAACCCGTATCCTTATGCATGACAAGCGGGTGTCTGAAACCTCCGGACTACCACGACAACTAACGAATCGCTCGAAGAAAGATTATTGAAAATGTCTCCACATGCTTACGGGACTCACAACCTCTGGGAAGTAACAAAACATCTCTCTCATTCCCAACAGTGTTCACCTTCGATTAGAACCGAAAAGAAATAAGCACGAACTGATTATGAAAAATATGAGGTACCAAAATAAACTAAGCAATAGCTAAACAACCATAGTACCTTAGTGTGTATATCACCTTATACATAGTATATTGGTTTATACGTAGGTGGCTGTTCGGTTCTACAAAGCTCCTTTGTTAGATTAATGGCATTAAGTGATCGAGTACAGACGTAATCCTCACATCGATTACTGTAAATTCCTTCATCACTACATAGATTAGTATATATCAGGAAGTATTGAACAAGGGTATATTATATTGTATCGATATTGAAAAGAGATATTGCAATAAACAGTTTAGCTTTAAAACTAACACTAGACCAAACACAAGATCTTGTAAAATGGCTAGACCGTTAAAATCTCTGGTAATCTATATAAATAAAAATGAATTTCCGTTTGTTAGTCTCGCTAAAACTCGAGAACGGCTAATTTTAGTCTTGAAATGTTCGTAGAAGACCAGGGAAGGTTTAAAAGGTGAGAAAAAAGTTTCAGGCACTACGAAGTTTGCCGGGTCAGCTAGTATTATATATTTTATCCTTCACACTAAAAATAGAAAATTAGAAATTCTTTAACAGTTTTCATAAACTAATAGTCTTTCAAACTAGGATTTACATAAAACCAATTTATAAGTCTCAAGTCCTTCGATTTTTTTGATAAGACAAGCCGGTAAACAAGCTGACGGATCACCTGATGGTAGGCAATTAATGGGGATTATGAATTTGAGGATTGTTGGGGAGATTGGGAAGACAAGTTACGAGTTTTCCTTCGAGGAAAATGCATCGTGTTTTATTACTTTAAGCATACTATATAGAACCTAACGGTCGCGGAGAACCTAACGGGTAACCGGGGCTCCGAGTCGACGTGCAGGAGAAGGAACGGAGTGGTTTTTAGTCAGTAAGAGTCTGGCACTCCCTCCCGCCTCACCCAGGCGGGAGCAGTCATTCGACGATTTTCCCCCCTTAAAAAAAAGCATACTATATAAATATATGTGTTTTTAATGGAATAAGCCAGTAAAGGAACAGACGATGGTAAACAATTGGCATCGCCCATGGACACACGGAACACGAGAGGCGTTACAAGTACGTTACCGGCCTTTTGGGGATTAGGAATTTGAGGATTATTTGGGATTCGGGGGTTGGAGAGATTGGGGAGGGGGGTAATTGGGGCTCCGGAAACCTCACTCACATCATAAAACACACTTCAATCAACTATGTTCTTATAAATTGAAGGCTTTAACCAAATTATTTACGGCGGCATAAAACTTAAGTGGCGTCTACTTTGTTTCGTTGACTGACGCTCGAGTTCAAAAGGCTACTCAATTTTAAATTGTACTTGAATATCGTGCCATCTTTGTCATTTTACACATCGAGCTTTACATAACTAGTATAAACTGAACGTTAAATGTGCGGAAAGATGATGTGACGCGTCACCAGGATAAACTGGTTTTGTATAGATTCATGTTTGGCCGTGAGTACTTGCGCGACTTAAAATTAAGTAACGTTTGATTATTTCGACATGAGACACCAACTTTTAATGATAAACCTCAATATCATAAGTTATGACATTGAGGTTTATTCATTCATTCATTCATAACATAACATAACAACACGCCTTTTATTCCCGAAGGAGTAGGCAGAGGTGCACATTACGGCTGAATGCCACTGTACAACGTAACACCCACTTTTCACTATATATGTTACTAGCGACTCGCCCCGGCTATTTATGTTGTGAGTCCCATGTAATAGGGAGTGGGCCTATTGCTATATACCGGGCACAATTTCAGACTCCGTGCTACCACTGACAATTTTACAAAACTTAGTAATGCTTTGCCCAACCCAGGAATCGAACCCGAAACCCCTTGAGCGGCAGTCACACTTGCGACCACTGCCTAAATATCACTGCAAACTTAAATACATTGTTCTCTAACTCTTCAACCCACACTACTTTATACCAGTCGATAGAAAACTTCCAGCCCACGGCTCATAGTTTAATGCAATTACTGTTGAATCCACTCTTCCACGAGCGAAAGAAAATCTACGTAAACAATAAAATTACCTTAACTACGAAGAAATACAAACACTGGAAAGAACAAATTTCATAGCCAACTAATTAAGGGATGCAGGTAATTAATAAGGGAAGGTATACGTTACATGTTTGTTAATGTTTTTGCTACGTTTTACACAGGAAATCGATATTTTCTTTGTTTCAGTATCATTTCTAGTCTCTTTATGTGTACAATTAACAGGATTGACTGTCGGTTCTTAAGTTTATTTGTATTTAGACCTTATATCTTAAATTATACTGAACGATTTCTCATATAGTTTTGACTGCAGAATGAAGTAAAATTTGTAGCTATAATGACTGCCTCGACGAGTGGTCGCAAGTGCGACTGCCGGGCAAGGGGTCTCGGGTTCGATTCCTGGGTCGGGCAAAGCATTACTGGGTTTTTAAAAATTCTCAGTAGTA